CTTTTTTTTTTTTTTTTTTGAGACGGAGTTTCGCTCTTGTTACCCAGGCTGGAGTGCAATGGCGCGATCTCGGCTCACCGCAACCTCCGCCTCCTGGGTTCAGGCAATTCTCCTGCCTCAGCCTCCTGAGTAGTTGGGACTACAGGCACGCGCCACCATGCCCAGCTAATTTTTTGTAGTTTTAGTAGAGACGGGGTTTCACCATGTTGACCAGGATGGTCTTGATCTCTTGACCTTGTGATCCACCCGCCTCGGCCTCCCAAAGTGCTGGGATTACAGGCTTGAGCCACCGCGCCCGGCTGTATAACCATTTTTATAACCATTGACCTACCTCTCCTCATCCCCACACCCGACATTTCTCGAAAGAAGACATACAAATGGCCAACAGGTATATTAAAAATGCTCAACATCACTAATTAGGAAAATGTAAATCAAAACCACAATTAAATTTCATCACCCCAGTTAAAATGGCTATCATCAAAAAGGCAAAAAATTACATGTGCCGGTGAGGATGTGGGGAAAGGGGAATACTGGTACACTGTTGGTGGAAATAAAAAACAGTGAATCTTTTCTTGAAGAGAGATTTGAAGTGTGTCTCTTAGTGTTGGTCACAATATATTTTTTTTCTGTTAAATTTACACCCACGATGCACATGTATTCACATACTGCTTGCTGTTTACTTTCCATTTACCTATTTCAACTTTTTTTTTTTTTGCAATTTTATAACTTTATTTGATGTATTTGACAATCAGCAATTAATTCTCATCCGCGTTGATGGTCTGTAGAGTTTTTGAAAGTGATAACAGGTACATTTTGAAAGTGTACAGGTAACCAAAGTACAGAGCTTATTTGGTGAACCTTCACCCTCATGTTTTCTGGACAACCGCACACGGATTCGATATGAGACGCTCATTCCTTTGGCCCAGACAGCTTTGCGGAGCCAGGTATTAATGCGCGCATGTGGAGTTCCCATCTCCATGGCAAATTTCTGAATCTCTTTGAGGGCCTGAGGGACACGCCTCTTGAAGCCTACTCAATGGATGCACTTGTGAATGTTGATGGTGTATTCTCGGGTCACCACCCCATTGATGGCAGAATGGCCCTTTTTCTTCACTCTACCCTTCTTTGCTGGAGCCATTCTGGTCCACGTTGGAAAGGAAGCCACATTTTATAATCATATTTTTTAAATTAATAAAGTTACTATTACATGAAAATTATTTTATTATTAAATTGAATACAACGTGTGTGCTTATTTCAGACAAATACAAAGGATACAATGAAAACTAAGTTCCTAGGCCAGACTCCGGTTGCCCAAGACTCCTTTTCCAGAGGAAATGATCATTTCTTGCATATCCTTCCAGAGATAGCTATTAATTAATAAACATGAAGTGTTTAGAGCATCTCCTAACTCAAAGCATAGGCCATACAAGGGTCTACTGTTAGAAACAATAGTACTGGAGGTGGAGATGTTAGCAGCAGCAAGGTAGTAGTAACAGCAGTAGCAATAGCACGGGTAGTTAGTTGTCTGTATCTATCTTAATCTTTTTAAATGGCTGCATGGGGGCCGGGCGCGGTGGCTCAAGCCTGTAATCCCAGCACTTTGGGAGGCCGAGTCAGGTGGATCACAAGGTCAAGAGATCGAGACCATCCTGGTCAACACGGTGAAACCCCGTCTCTGCTAAAACTACAAAACATTAGCTGGGCATGGTGGCACGTGCCTGTAATCCCAGCTACTCAGGAGGCTGAGGCAGGAGAATTGCCTGAACCCAGGAGGCGGAGGTTGCGGTGAGCCGAGATCGCGCCATTGCACTCCAGCCTGGGTAACATGAGTGAAACTCCGCCTCAAAAAAAAATAAATAAATAAAAAATAAATAAATAAATAAATAAATGGCTGCATGGTATTATCACGGTGTAATATAATTTTTTAAACATTCCCCTACAATGAATAACAAAAAGCTCCTATAGTTACCATAGTCTCCTAAACTAATATAAAATACAAATACATAAATTAGATATGTCAAAAACAAATTATCTATACAGCTCTGCATGCCCTGAATTAGAGCACTAAAAGGAGAAGTGGGAAGACTTGTGCTAATTTGATGTGGAGTGTGGAGGAGACGTGGGAGTCATATCATTATTCAGCCTCCTCTAGTTAAGGGTAAGTACTAGAAACTTACACCTAACACAGTGTAAGGTGGCATTTCAACTGGCATATGCAAATGTGTTTATTGGCAGAGATTTCACTGAGAGGGCCATTAACCAAACAGATTTCTCTTTTTTTTTTTTTTTTTTTTGAGACGGAGTCTCGCTCTTGTTACCCAGGCTGGAGTGCAATGGCGCGATCTCGGCTCACCGCAACCTCCGTCTCCTGGGTTCAGGCAATTCTCCTGCCTCAGCCTCCTGAGTAGCTGGGATTACAGGCACGCGCCACCATGCCCAGCTAATTTTTTGTATTTTTAGTAGAGACGGGGTTTCACCATGTTGACCAGGATGGTCTCGATCTCTTGACCTTGTGATCCACCCGCCTTGGCCTCCCAAAGTGCTGGGATTACAGGCTTGAGCCACCGCACCCGGCCAACCAAACAGATTTCTAATTAAATCAGTTCCACGGATAACTACTGAAAGTCTCTCCTCAAAAGATGGAGCCGTGCCCGTAGCCTCAATATTCCCTTTGTATAGTACACAGTAGGTTGCAGAGGTATCTGAATTTCAGCCACTTATCTCACACACAGATATTCTCACTTTATAGTAGCATGGCATTTAACAGAAATAACTCTGGGTCCACATCGCCTGGGTGTTTGAATTGTGGGTCTGCCATTTATAGCTGGGTGACCTGGGGTAAATTACTTAACTTTTTTGAGCTGAATTTCCTCTTCTTTATCAGTAAGATAGAGATTATAATAATACCTATATCATAGAGTGGTTGTGACTATCCGATGAGTTAACGTATGTGGAGGACTGTATGTTTGTTACTATTAGCAATGGTGTATCTTTTTTATTATATGTATCTCATTTTCAAACTTAATCCAGTTTTGTCATTGAACATTTTAATGCTCAGTTGTGATTTAAATAATTTCATTTGAAAGAAAACCATGTCCAGATATTAAGTCTCTAGTGATTTATGAAACCACGAGACTGAATCTAAAACCCAAAGTCATTCCATCAACAAGGAAATTTTTTAGCCTTGGCATGTCCTACAACAGAGCTGAAGAATATGGCCCTAGGAAAGGCTTTTGTAGTAGCCCAGATATGAGAAACACTTGAAAGCAGTACACAGCATTTCCCAGAGGAAATCAGACCACTGGTACTTTAGAAATGATTAATAATGTTAATGAGTATTTAGCATTCTTGGAAGCATAGCTTAATTGACTACACAGTCCTAGGGGACTAAGAGAATGAAGCATAAGAATGGAATCTTGGCTTTTCTTGAGCCCATTTTTGAAGCCAAGAAAATTAAACAAGGATAGGAATCCATGTGTCTGAACAGTTCTACTTAAAAAGTCATCAAGAGGCATCAGGTCATAGTAGGATTAGGAAGGGAAAAAAACACAATTAATTTACACTGGGGTTGTACCATTGCTTTAAGTTAAGTATCCTGTCTTTGCTTGTAGATGGAAATTTGGAACACAAAAATTATGCTATCCCTAAATTTCAGGTAGCTTACATAACCTGAAAGCTACTTGCCCTACTTTCAGAGGGTGTTCCTGAAATGGAATTGTTTATGGTGGAGAAAATTGTACTTTAAGGTAGAAATAGCTGAGGGAACCACAGACCCATGTGGTTTTTGGAAAAGAAAGCCCTAATTCCTTAGATGCATTATTAAAATTATCAGTGAAGGGGTAATTGGACCCACAGACTCCTTTTGTAGAATTCACTAAGGAACATGAATTAAAGATATTAGCATCTTGGTTGGATGCCAAGAAATATAACAGTACAAATACAGCCTTGAGGAGACACTTTTTTTTTTTTTTTTTTTTTTTTGAGACAGAGTCTCAGTCTTGTT